CAAAAAACTTAAGAAAAATAAAAACAAAAAAAAAACCAAGACGGGAAGACGGAAAGATGGAAAGAAACGTTTTGGCTTGCGTTTTGGAAGCTGCGCATCTGTCATTAAAATGAAAACATTTTCCTCACATAAACGCTATAAAAATGCTTTAATAAAAGAAATTGTTGTAATTTAAGTCGAAAACAAACCACAACGAAAAAAAAAACAAAGCAACTAAACGCAAAGAAAGCAACCAAAGCTAAAACAAAAGACTCAAGGCACAAACTTGGTCAATATCACAAACGCTGCAATATGGTAAGCAAAATCACAAATATTTTCGAGCACAAAACATGCTTTGCATATTGAACAAAAAATATTACAAATATATATATAATTATAGACCTTTTTTTATTGGAATTGTATTAACATATATTGGCTTTTACTTCACTGCTGCACTGGTAACATAGAGGCACTGCTATGCAGCCTACTGACCCTAATTACAAGAAGTTGCACTTACCTCGAAATTGTAACAATTTTTTCTTCTGGAAACGCCACCAATGCAACGCTACGCTGTTAACAGACACGTGTAGGCACTGTAAAAGTACTTCCCTACTATGAGTATATTTTTCGAAAAGAATTCGCAAGAATTCGCAAGAATTCCCAATATTTATGTAATTTGTATATATTTTGTATTTTGTTAATTAATTAAGCATGTTTAGTTTGGCATAATTAACACAAATTCTATTCAGCACTTCCATTGACATACTATAATATTTTAAGCATAAAATTGGTTATATTTTCTGCACGGATCACTGCCTAGTCAGTTCCAATTATTAGTGACGTTATACGTTGCCTCTTGCCTTGCAGCTATCACCGCAACTAATAACCGTCGAATAGCAGGTAACTACCGTTCGCTTATATCTATGCAAATTTAATTAATTTCTTTATTTATGACTTTCTGTTTTTGTTTTTGTTTTTAAGATTTTCTCCTATGTAGAAAATTTTTATAAGAATTAAATTCTTTTTTCTTTTCAGTTTTCCTTATATATATTTTCTATCGGGCGCACAATTTACTGGGTAAACGCGTCGCAGACAACCGTTCCGTCTGCTTGTCTCGCACTGAATGAAACTTAATAATCTTGTAAAAGAAATTTTTACACCAAAAAGAAAGCACAACTTAAAATTTCTTTTACTTTCTGGTTTTATTTTGCAGTATTTACCACTCTTCAGCTCTTCAGTTCTCAACGTGCCTGTGTGAGCTTTGCTATTGAGTAGCTGGCGCAACGCATCCGCTGTGGCAAACGCTGTTAACATTGTCAAATGTTAATGCCAAGGTAAGCGAGAAAATTGAAAACCACCAACTTTACAAGAAAATTCAGCAAAATATACTTCATTTTTCTTTTCAGTCTTAGCGGTAATTATTTTCTTAACAAATGTTAAGACACAATTGTTGCAAGTTACTCTGAGCTAATACTGCCGTTTATTAACAGACTGCAAAAGCATAACAGCTTCAAGGCGTCTGTTCTTAGCAGTTTCAAATTATCTGTTGTTAACAGTGCTTTATGAAACAGCGAAAGAGAATCACTCTGGCAGTGAGGCAAATAAACTGAATTGAATGTTTTATCTTATTTATTTAAAAAATATTATTAATTTAAATAATTTTATTAATAAGAATTATTTATTTATCCCAATTAGATCTTTAATTTTCACTTCACAGAATACCACTATTAATTGTTATTGTTATTGGTGTAGTATCACTAAGCAAGCATTTTGTTGTTGAATAATCAAATGGTTTAACATAATGTGATTTTTTAATAATATTTTTTTTAACCAATACTACACGTCACATTGTCTTCTCGTTATATCCTAATGTGCCATTATTTGTACGCAATTGTGCTTTAAAACTGAAGGTTGCCACTCTAACTTAGGCTTCCCATCCAATCCATCTTTCTATATTTGTGCAGTTTACGAATTATTACCTATAATATCCCTTTAATATCTAATATTCCTTGCAATTTATTTAATTAATTATTCAACTTTGAATTTCCTGCATAGAAAGATTTCAAACTACGGTTCAACTAATAGATTTCAAAGCGTTTTCAGTTGTTTCTTGTGGTACTTAAAATAGACAATTTATTTAGTTCAACATAAAGTAAAAGTTCTATAAAAGCAGACATACCGAATATGGAGCTTTTAGTTTCTTTCCAACAATTTTACAAAATCATAAATTCAACAAATTGTAAGCATAAACGCAGTTCATAACCTGCAAGTGATCAGAATACTTAATTAGATTTCGACTAATATTTATTACATTCGGTTTTTCAAAACTTTTCAATATAATTTATTTAAATATATCTAACTGAACTGTGTTTGGTATAAGTTTAATTGCAATATTCAGGTTATTCAAATTCAAAGTTCCAGATCGAGACCATCAAGAATTAAAACTCAGTTGAGGCAATATGCTAATCTTCACGCGATACAGATTGAGACCATTCACTAACGTTATTCTCGCAAAGACGAATCGAATAATTCCCAAAATAAGTGAAGTGGCATAGGACGCCTTCTTGTCCTGAAGGTGAGAAATTCTTTCTACACATAAATGGTGAGAAATAGCTATTAATAGTTTACAGCATTAGAATCCGGTAGTCTGGATAAAGCCATTTTATTATTCCATGAAAGTGTAAAGAACAAAGGACTGGCAGAGATTTCAAGAACTTTCGGGTCTACGTAATGAAGCCACTCGTTGAGTCTCAAAAGGGATCACACAAGCAAATTCATCAATATCCTTAGTGTTGAAGGCCTGATTCCATAAGAAATTTTTATTCTTATTTTCATGCTATATCAAGCGTACTTGAAAGCGTAAGTTAGTATTGAAGGTCTTGTGCATCTCAATAATGTTGTTTCAATGTCTACGAGTTAAAAACAAAAAAAATAAAATAAATTTTACTAACATGTTTAATTGGAGCTCGAAACCCACATCAGTAAGAAATCAAAAGACCTACAAACCATTTTTGGAAGCGGCTCGCCTGCTTCAGTTTGGGAGTTCGCCACTATTTTTTGACTGTTCAAATTGCTGTTAATAATTTAGAGAAAAAGAGATGTGAGGCAATATATATTTAAAAAAAATATTAAATAATAAATTAACTGCGAGTTGCTCGTTAAAAAAAATATACAACTTAATTGATTGGGTTTTCGCAAACGTACGGTTTGGGCGTCTACAGCTTTCACTATTCTTTCATGGCAAATGAGCAACAAAAATAAAAAAATAAATACTTTTTGTCAACAACAAAAGTTTAAGCTTGAAACGAAAAATAAATAAAATTATTCTTCTTAAAATACGTAATTGGCGTTTACAATTAATGACAATAAAAATCTATTAAACCTAAAATACTAAAAGTGCTAACAAAAAAATAAGTTTTCATCATTTTGTGGTATAAAGTTTTTATGTAATAATTTAATTATATACAGGGTGGTGTTTTGGCAGGAGGCATGAAAACCATTAAGTAAACAAATGTTTGACTTTGAAGTATAAAATTTTTAATTAATATACTATTGTAATTAATATATCATTTGAATTTAATTTCTACTTAAACTATTTTCTTCTGCATGAAAATATGCCAAAGGACCTATTTGTTTCCATAGTTATAGCTCGATGAAGTGAAATTCGTTTGCCAAAAATCTGTTCTAATTTATTTTTGTTGGGTACAATCATTGTGCTTGATTAAAGGGATTATCTGGTGATTTGTTCCACTCCTTCATCAGTATTTGCTTCCACTGAGATAGGCGTAGCGTGGGATTTTCAGACTTAATGCGTGGCAGGTTAGCAGATTCGAATACTTTATAAGCGGCACGCATCTGTTTTTCAGGATGTTTGTTGACTTCATCTTTGACACTGGAAGAAGGAAAGAGATGTTAAATATATAAATAATTAATAATAATTGTGAAGGCATTGCTTAGTCGGCGAGAATAAAATCTTGTTGTTGCTATTTGTGGTGCACTTCGTTGCTTGTTGGGCAATTGAAGGCAGTAGTGAGCATTACTTGGTCAGGAGCTTAAACGGGTAACTTCAGAAAGTAGACTATTCGCTCCTGATTTACTGTTAATAAAATGTTATGAATGCAATTTGTAAAAGCGCGTAACAACTAAAGAGCACACAGGGGTTTCCATGTTGATGGAGAACAAGGTGTTGGCACAAGGTGTTGTGACCATTCAAAATACTGCTCCAAACCATAGTTGGCAGCATTTTCAAATTTATATGCATCACTGACTAAGCAAAACCGTTTTTACACAATTTTCGGTTTTTGTCGTTAATTGACTTGGCTTACCTTAAAACAGCCAATGCCTCTTCGACATTTGTTGCCACCTCAACATCGGCCATAGCACGATTTAGATTCTCTTCAATTATTGGCGCGGGCATAACAATACGTCCAGCGGGTTGTTTCGCTGCATTGATCGCATCAAGGGCACGTTGCTTTTTCTCTAGCTCCTCTGCCAATTGCTGGCGACTGATTTTTGCAAGTGGTTGTTTACCTTGTGTTTTAATTGATGACATTTCTTCATCTAGCAGTGCTTTACTTTCGGCCTTACGACGGAGTTGCTCAGCTTTCTTACGTTCTTCGTCTTCACGACGTTGTTGCTTCTTTGCTAGGTTTTTGTCGTCATCCTGCCACAATTTGTCCTCAGCGTCTTTTTTTGCCTTCTCCTGAGAGGCTTTCTTTGTTGCTTCCTTGCGTTCACGAGCCTCGACAGCTTTAGAGTTCATGCCCGTTTTCTTCGGCATTTTGACTGTTTTGTTGAAATTGCACTAAAAACTATTTTTATTACCAATTTTTAATTTATTTTACAGGAAAATAATCGCAAACATTTTGACGTCTGTGCACAGCATTGCCTTCTCAGCGCACACAATTTAGTACAACATAAACACAGCTGCTATGTATCTATGTTTGTTTAGTAAAGACACGAACCCATTCAACAGCTGCTTTGCGTTTGACATTTCAGTCAATGTTAATGTTCAACTTTTTCATTGTCAAATGCGTTGTTTGTAAATAATTTTTAATAAATCGATTTTGCAGAAATAGAGTAAAAAAATGGATATACTTAAAGCAGAAATTGCACGTAAACGCAAGTTGCTCGAAGAAAAACAATTAATTGATAATAAAAAGAAGTTTTTTCAACGCCGTGACTTAATAGCAAAAGATCAGGAAGAAATTTTGCAAAAAGTTGGCTACAAAACGCAGGAGAGCACGGAAGCAGAGGACCATTCAGAGGAAGGTGGCTATCATTACGTTTCGGATGGACAAAATATATTAGCGCGAACTGAAGTTGTAAGGCGTTTGCGTGATCGTTCTGAGCCCATATTACTCTTTGGCGAAACAGAAATTGACTCCTTCAATAGACTGCGTCAGTGTGAGATAACTCAACCTGAAAGTAACCGTGGTTTCCGTAACGATTTTCAAGAAGCTATGGAACAAGTTGATCAAGCATATTTGCAAGAAATGTTTGCCAATACACCTACAGCAAAAGAAGAAAAGCAATCTGATGTAACAGAATTAGACGAATCTGTCACTTGGGAAACCATACAAACAATGGCGCAAAAAATGGGACGTGGTAGTAAGGATTATGATATGGATGTTATAATCACTTTGTTAATATTTCTACTCAAGCTGTGGAACGATCAAATCGCCTCCTATTCAAAACAAGAAAAAATGTCCACAAAAGTTAAAATGGCGCGTGTTATTTACACACAAACTAAGGAGTACGTGAAGCCACTGTTCCGTAAATTGAAACATCATACATTGCCCGAAGATATTTTAGACAGTTTGCGTGATATATGCAAGCATCTACTCAATCGCAATTATATTTCTGCTAGTGACGCGTACTTGGAGATGGCCATTGGGAATGCTCCTTGGCCCATTGGTGTTACTATGGTTGGCATTCACGCCCGTACAGGACGCGAAAAAATTTTCTCAAAAAATGTGGCGCACGTAATGAATGATGAAACGCAGCGAAAGTACATACAAGGCTTGAAACGTTTGATGACAAAGTGCCAAGAATACTTTCCCACAGATCCCTCCAAGTGTGTGGAGTACGTTAGCCGAAAAGATCGTGAATAAAATTTTTAATTTTTAAGCTTATTTTGTATTTTAATTGTTTAAATGTTTAGGTTAATTTTAATAAACTTATCGTATTACAAAGAATAAGTTTTGAGACCTTAATTCCAATATTCACTTTCGTCTTGTGCATTTATTTTTTGCCAAGTTCTTCACAACGCTTCGAAGATTGCTCCACTGCGTTCATAAGTGTTGCTCTAAATGAAAAGAATATACAAAACAATTGGTAAAAATATTTTGAAGTATTGTACCTTAAATTGCCCTTTTCGAGCTCATGTATACCAACAATGGTTGCCCCACCAGGAGAACATACCTGTAAGATATACAATATTATAAACATATAAGAAATATAGGTCACTTTGGGTATAACTCACTTCATCTCTGAGCACTGCAGGATGTTTGCCAGTAAGCAAAACGGTTTTAGCTGCGCCTAGTAGGGTTTGCGCAGCAAAAATTGAAGCCATTTGTCTAGGTACGCCCTGTTTAACAGCACCATCTGCTAGCGCTTCTATAACTGTATAAACATAAGCAGGACCACAGCCTGCTAGTCCAGAAACTGCATTAATCATAGATTCTGGCACTTGTTGAGCAATACCCAAAGAGTTGAGCATTAGGTGTATTTTTTCCAAATCTTGTTGCTTAACGTATGAGCCAGCAGCGTACACTGTACATCCCTCACCCACTTGCATTGAAGTATTTGGCATGGTGCGTATCATCTTCAGACTGTTAATAAATGAAAAGCTCTACAAATAAATTGTGGAAATAACATAAAGGAAGTTAAAATAGTAGTGCGGTCATCTATACCTCTTCCAGTGTCTGTAAGTTGACACCCGCTAAAACCGAGACAAACAACTTATCCTTATCCTTCGATGTTGATGTATATTCACTACGTAGATGTTCCGCACAAGGCGTTAAAATGTGTGGCTTCACGCAAATAAATATAATGTCTGCCTTGTCCACTACTTCATAGTTGCGCTCGGTGATTGCAACACCTAAATCACGCCAACGTATCATATTTTCTAGATTAGGTCCAGACACTAACACCTGTCCTACTTTTACTATGCCACGTTGTATAAGACCGGCTCCTATGGCAAAGGCCATATTGCCACCACCAATGAAACCAATTTTTTCATCCAATTTTGCCATTTTGCTGTAAACGCTTGACGCTTTTTTGTAAGAGTTTTTAGTGTCAAAAAATAATAAATTTTTTTTTTTGAATATTGGCACAAAAACACTTTTTTCGTTTTGTGTTTGAGCACACGTTTTTGCTGTTTTTGTTTATTTGCTTAGGAATAATTTATAGGCAATCTGCCTACTGATTACTTTTATGACTTTTGCTAATTCATTCGTAAGCACAACACAGCTGTTGGGCTTTGCTTTTGTTTTTGTTTTTTTATTGCTGCAGATTTGGAGTCGGCGCTGCGGCAAGCTTTTGACGGCGTTCATCTTGGGTGGCAGATGTTAAGAGAGTGTAGTTCGGTTATCGTTGTTTAAATCGTGTTAATTATTAGAGTTATTCTACATGTGTTTACATTTTTAATTTATTTGATCTCATACCATTTTTGTGTATGGATTTTAAATAGATTTTGTATAATAAATGGTCCATATTACTGCTGCACATAAATCGAATTAATTGCATTAAATCGTATTGATTAATATGTTTACACTATTACAGCGTTTACATTATGTGATTGAAAGTAGATTAAAGCAAAAATCGAGATAAAAGTACTAACCTCGTTGTTTAATCTCAGATTTCCCATACAATATTTAATCACCTTAGAAATGGTGATTATTTTTCTGTGCAATTCTGTAAATGCCTTAATATAACAGATTTTTTACGATCTTACAAGAATTTAAAAAGGAATGTCATAATCTATTCAAAACAAATAATGAAAGTTTGAAAATGCCGTAGTGTGTAAATTTTTAATAAGTTTGTTTAATATCAGTTTTGTATAGAATTATAACTTAAATTTGTTAAATTATTGTTGTAAAACTATTTATTGAATTTTTATTAAAATTTTTTTATACAAAATTGTAATTAAATGTTTTATTTACAAAAATGAATCAAACACGAAACAAAACACCACAAGAGAAACGTCAATATTAATCTCCAATATGTAATGTAAACGGTGAAGATTAAAAATGCAGATTAACTTAATCTCGTTCTCTTATTCTCACAATGTAAACGTAGTATAACGCAGGTTTAGCATTACAATTAATGTGTGAATGGATTGTAAATAAACACTTATTCACAATAATTGTGAAGTTGACTGCTTATAGCAACCATAAGCTCTCTTACAATATTAGTATTAAATTGAGTACAATATAAAACTTTGATTACTTTGAACAGGACTATCTGAGAAGAGTACAATTCTATAAAACTGCCTCAACACTTTTTCTGAATGACTACATGAACGATTCGTTTTGATACTGCCTGAAGCACTATTATAATTATTAATATTCTGTTCCTTGCAATAATTACAGATTTAGTTTAATTTGTTTCAAAGTTCAAAGCACATTTCCTCTTTTTTTGTGAAAATACAAAAATTTTACGATACTCTTGTCTGTAAAACATGCCGTAGTCGCTATATATATTCAACAATACTGTTTTGCATTTCAATACTATGTTTACCTCTTTCTATAGTATAGAAAGTATAGTATGTTTACGTCAATACTTTATAGTTAACGTCTTTAGTATATTTTTATGAGAATTTGGGTTGCATTTGTATGAAAAATTGTTGGCATATATTGCTATATATTTATCGAGTTAAGTAGTCAAAACATATTGTATAAGATACTAACATAAAATATATTCCAATCGATATGACAAAGTCGTTTCCTTGTATTTTATCAACTAATGTGAAAAATCGTGTCTGCTTTGCATCGTTTCGCACTGATTGTGTTTTCAATACTATATATACAAAGTATTTAAAATCTATTATAAATACCATTCTTTTATTAGTCCCTAATAATCAATACAAAAAAAACAAATATGTTGTATAAAATTGTATAAATTAAATTTTTTTATTTAACAGACTCAAAAAAATATTTCATACAATATCTCATTATAAATTTATATTACAATGTAAAATTAATATTTGTTTTCTAATTTTGCTTTCTAATTAATTTACTATAAATAATTGAAGCTAACTACAGAAAAGAACTTAAAATAGAACAAAATCCATACATATAAGAAAAGTTTACTTAAAAATACGACGAAAGCGAATTCACTTCTTCTCTCTCACTCTTTCCGCACTCTCGCTGAAAATACGCAATCCAAATTGTTATTTACAAAATATTGGTAAAAGATTATTTTTTAAATATTTTTTATAAATTAATACATAATTACTTTATTAGTGTTGAATTGTTAAAAATCACATTTATATTGTTATTAACTATTTAATGAATTTCATATTAAAAAAGTGATATTATTTATAATTTATTCGTTAAGTAAATGTAAAATTCCAAAAATTAATTGCATATATTTAATTAAACTTAAATTAATGACTTCAATAAATATTTGTTTTCTAAGTACTTAAGTAATATTATAGTCTGTTTTTTCTATTTTATATTTTACAAGCTGATTTATATAATTAATTATTATTTTTACAGTAAATCATATTAAATAAAATTACATCTTAAAAATATTAAAAAAAAAAATAAAGAAAATTTAAAATCAAATTATTCACTTTTAAATTAAACGCTTGATAGCTGCTTATTGGAAACCATAAAATTCATAAGATATTTACACAAAATTAATTTACTTTTAATTAATATCTATTGTATATTTAAATTAAATAACAATTTTTTTACAAATTGGCAACTAAAGGTTTTATTATTCTAGACCAAGAAAAGCATTTCATGGTTAACTTTCGATTTCGTTTGATTTGCAGTGCGCTTTCGTTCAAAAGTTTCGTTAAGTTTTTCATTTGGTCGTTTTGGCAAAGCCCGTATACGGTCTTTGGTTTTGGCATTTAAAGTTCTGTGGTAGTCTCCACTTCAGAACGATCCAAATCGTTTAAGTAGGAAAAGCCCATTTGACCGTAATCTCTCTTGCCAAATGTCACATTCTCATTTGTGGAACTGATGTGGCTCAAGTCCCCATTTGACCTATAAAAGAAAAACATTCCTCATTAAATAAGTTTTATGCACTTAGTTTAATATATAAAAAAATATACTAGTATTAACATTTTCATAAGCAATAAATAAAGATTAGCAAAAATATTAATTAATTCTGTTTAGTCAACTCGCCTTTGAAAAAGTGGATTTGTGATTGGCACATCCGCAAATGTGCCTCTGTGCTGATGATGATTATGTTGATTATTATCATGACTATTCGTATTACTATAGAGGTTGCCACGCCTACCCAGCGTACTGTAGGCATTATTTTGTATATTGGCTAAATTATTTCGGCTCACAGAGTCCAACTTATAGCCACCATTTTGATAATGATTGCTGTTCTGGTGTTTTATCCGTCCCAGCGTCAGTGTACCTGGCAGTGTGCCATTAGCAGCGGCAGCCAATGGGTTGGCATTATTCCGAGCATTCATTTCCAAAGTGCGATTGAATGTGTTCTGACGATTATTCATGGTATGGTTGTTGTTGTTGGACAGATTGTTTAGGTTGTTGTTGTTATTGCGACGTAAGGTTGCAATTGTAGCTGTTGTTGCTTCAGAGTGGGAGGGGCTGGCTTGGCCGCCACCATTTTGTTCCTTATGCGTTATGTAGCTTACATTGTCTAATGAAAAGGCATGGTTTTTGGCACTGAAATCGAGTTGTAGATCGTCATCACCATCTGGTGGAACAGCCATAGCTAACACTTGAGTTTCGTATTCCTTAAGGTTGGCTATGGTGTCGCCTGCATTCGATGCCTGCGAATTAACAATGACAGGATCATAGCGTGTCGGACTAGGTGCTGAGTATTGGCGCATACGTTGCTTGAAGTTTTTATACCTAAAAATTTATTAAAATATAATGATCATCAAAAAGTAATAATATTATTTATAACTTACTTTGACCAAGATATACATATGTATATTATGCCAATGATACCCAAAATCAATATAATTATGGACACAGCAATAAGCGTATAAGGGAAGACTTCATCATTAATTGCAATCGGTGATTTGATCTGAAATTTTTATTTTCATTATATTGTTAAATATAATTATCTGTATTCTGAGTCACATATTTACATGTATATAGTCTCAATATACCATATCTACTTACCTTATGGACTTGTTGTTTTATTTCGATTGGTGCGAAAATTCCCTCAGCCGTGGCACGAGCTATGCCCGAAGCTTCAAAATTCAGTTTCGAACGTGCGGCTGGTTCTAACAGAGTCTCTTGTACCACTGTATCGTTACGTTTAACTATCAGTTCCGATTTGGGATCAATCAAATAAAACCAGACATCAGTTGCAGCAGGATTCTCAACAACAGTGCCATTCGCATTTAAAAATTTGCGATTGCTGAAGCGCTCAATACCACCCATAAGTCCATTCGTTTTCTCCATCAATAGCTCTTCTATAGCAGTGAAGTGGTTCTTAATTTGGTTGGGTGATGCATCCGAAAACACTAAAGACATGCGATTCTGATCTGTGATTTGATTAATGACAATGCGTGCACGTGTGCGGTGTGAACCAAGCTCCTGACCATCGTTATCGCGTGCCTCTACATAGAACACCATAGGAAAGTTCGCTTCATCACGGAACAGTTTTGCGGTACGAAGAATGCCTGTTTCTTCGTGCATGGTAAAGTAAGTTGTGGGCTGAATAAATTAAAAAAAAATAACTTGAATAGTTTCTTTCGATTATCGCTACTTCAAATCTTTCACTTACCAAGTTCTCATCTCTCACACTATTGTTTTCCTCATCGTATATCTTATAGCGGACCATACCGAATTTACCAGAATCTCGATCGGTAGCACGCACCTGCATAATTGGTGTATTTATGTCTACATCCGGAGAGACCACAGAATAGAATGTGTCCTTCCGACCATTTAAACGATTGAATATAAATTCGGGCGCGTTATCATTTTCGTCCTGCACAATTATTTTAACTGTGGTCATATCCTTTTGCTGATTCACTAAATACTTATGGGACACCAAACGCAAATGTAGTGTGTGTGAGGTCTTGTTTTCGTAGTCCAAATGCTTGATTAGTTTAATGCCACAACCATGATCCTCAATGGTGACATCAAAAATACCCATTTCATTGCCCCTCACTATTTCGCACTTAAAGCCAGGATTACTATGTATGGCTTTTTTGGAGTTGATTATTTGTATCAATTTAATAGTAGCATTAATGCCTGTTGTCTCTGGCACTCCAGTGGTGTAGCTATCATCACTGAAAGCGAGTCCAGAACTTTCTGGTAAAATAATTACTCCACTATTGAGTTTGGAAACCATGTTGTTCTCTTGTACAGGGTCGGTAAGAAGATGGCGTATATAAACTGGCAGTGTCGCTACAGAACTAAGTTGAGGTTCACCCATGTCATAGGCACGTATATCGACTTGGTACTCGGTGTCTTCTTCTTTGCGTAATTCGTCACGTATGCGCACTGCACCCGTATCGGCGTCGACTTGGAAATATTTTAAGGCTTTACCACGTCCCACCATTTCATATCGTACCACATTGCCTGGAGAAGTGCCGTCGTTATCTATAGCAGCCATTGTAGCTATAATTGTACCTATGGGTTGGTCATCGCTGACAGTAACAGGTTCGGGTACAGACACAAAGAGTGGACGCATATCATTGCGATCGTCAACCTATAAAAATATAACAGCAGATTAATAAGGTTGCTCCGAATTGTTTTCAATTTTAAAAGATACTTACATCGACTATTACGCGAATTGTGTCACCGGCGCTGTCTCCATCATTTTCTATGGTACCCACTACGAGCTCATGTTGTTTCTGTTTTTCATAATCTAAGCCAGTAGTTGTACGGATTTCTCCAGTTTGTGGCGAAATTTTGAATAGTTCAGATTCACCCTTTCGCAGCACATAAGTTATCTCCGGCATGGTATCAGGATCAATGGCTTGCACTGTTGCTACAAGATAATTGGGTTCATTTTCTGGTATGCGTACATCAATGCGTGATTCAACGAATTTGGGTACCTCATCAGGCAAATCATGTACCATCACAGTAACGCTGGCAGTACCCAAACGAGCATCAGGTGCACCATCCTTAGCAGTCACTACAAAACGATATTCATTCTGGCGTTCATAGTCCAATGGTGCAGCTGTGCGGATTTCTCCGGATTTCCCGTTTATGGCAAACGGAATATCGGTTGGTATCGAATAGGTGATTTCCGCATTTATACCTTCATCTGCATCTGTTGCGTGTACAATTCCAACGAATGCATCCATTTTGCCTTCATCCACCTGAAATACATACGGCAGTGTTGATTCATCAAATTCGGGATTTTTGTCATTAATATCGGTAACTTTTATATTGACGGTCGCACTGCTGGACAAACCACCATTATCTTCTGCTTTAACTATTAACTGATAACGTGTTAGACTTTCACGATCTAATTTACGTATCACCACTATAACTCCATTTTCCTGACCTACAGCAAATTGACGTAAATCATTGCCTGATACAATGGAATAGACCACAGGATCGTTTTCAGGATCTTCTGCGCGTACCACTGTAACAGTTGAGTTTATTTCAGCGCCCTCACTCACTTGTACTTCATAAATCGATTTTAAGAATTTCGGTGGTTTTGTATTGGGTCCTGGAGTAACTGACACCTCTACAATGGCTTGTGAAAACAGACCACCGATATCAGTAGCTTGTACAGTAATACTGTACTGTTCTCCGGCCATGAGTTTACCAACTGTCTCTATCTGGCCGGTGTGCTCATCAATGGTGAATTTCTGGATGCCGTTATTGGAAACGTGATATATAGAGTATGTTATTACGGCATTTTCGCCTTCATCATTATCGGTAGCTGTAACTTGTGTGACAGCACGCTTGCCATCACCAGCTGTTATTGAAACCGGTGGCACCATGGCCAGTTTCGGTGGATTGTCGTTGACATCACGCAGTATAACTGTAACGCTAAGTGGTGCGCTAGCTGCATTGGTGCGTGGTTCACGAGCCACTACTTGGAATTTAAAACGACCTGGCGCTGGTGGATCACGATCTAACCCATCTTCATTTACAATAAGTATACCATCAGCTGTAACATCAAAAGATGGAGTTGTTAACTCATATATATAATCAGGCTTGGGGTCATCTTCAGCCAAATCGGCATCGGTGGTTTTAAATGAAATTGGTTTATTATTGATATCCAAAACTTTTGTACCTATGGGTGAGTTCTCATCAACGTAGCCTTCAATATCACTAGCTGATATTACGGGTGGATTAGCATCAACTGGTTTGACAGTGATAGTTAATTTCGCTGTAGTAAAACGTTTAGCGGGTGACACTTCTTCAGCTTTAACAACAATATCGTATTTCTTAGCTGTGGAAGTGTCCACTGCTTTGATTTGCTTTAGTACACCTGTTTGCTCGTCAATTTCGAAATAATCCGCATAATTGCCAGGCATGCCATTAGCAAATGAGTAATGTATCGGTGAGCTTATAGTATCAAGATCAACAGCCTGTATGCGCTCTGGTGTGACAGTCAGCACACCTTGCAATGATCCTGCCGGTACTGAAGCACTGTACTCAGGATTTATGCAAGCGCCATCTAGTAGTACGCAACCACGATATATAAATGAAGGGTCTAGATCATCCGAATCAGCGATGTTAACAGTAAGTGTAGTGGTAGAACTTAGACGCTCACTAACGTTACGTGCACGATCCTATTGATAAGAAAAATATAATTAGTTACTGAGGAATAAAATTATAATAAATTTAAGGTTTTATACTCGTAGAAGATTTTTTCTTATTGGAGGCTAGTTTCTGATATAAAATTTTTTTAACTAAATATGATCGTTTTATCCTCATTCCCAAACTGTGTGTTCAATCGTACAGTCAGTCGTGTATGGTATGTTGTATTAAAGGCAATAAAAAAGAACATTGCATATTATTTATTATCTTAAATTATTATTATAGACATATGGCCGTAAACCAACTCGCTGGCTGTACCTTCACATCTGTGAGCGCATCATTTGTATTGCAACGACACGTAAGTGCAATTGGATTTGCAATTGCAGTTGCAACTGAAATGCAATTTGTAAGTGTCATTCGTGTGCAACATAAAAGCCTTTGACCAAAAAACATTTGGAAATGTGATAAAACCGCATTATGAGTTACGCATGCGCATTGCGAAATCACAGTTTTGCCAAAAATAATTTGATTCCACCATAAACGATTCGCAAAAATGCTAATCGATTTGCTCGTTTTGTCAATAAAAAATTGCAAAATTGAATGTAGATAAGCCGATATCATGCAACAAAAACCTAGCATGCGATAAAAACGCTGTTTGCTTGCCACTTCTACTGATAGCGGCAAGAGTGAGAAAAGTGCTTTTAATATTTACTCAAGATATTTAAAACTTTAAATCAATGTTTTTATAAAATTATTTATAATTGTAATTAAAAAAATAATATACGTATGCAATATGCTTTATTAAAAAGCAGAAATTAAGAAAGGGCATGAAAATACGGGAATGCTTCCAGAGTAAATCAATATCTAAATTATGTGCTATGATTATAGCTATATATAATATATAGTAAGATAATAACAGTGGCATTTAAGATGAAAGAAACCTGATTACAGCTATTATATATCTAGAGTAGATTAATTAACTATTAATTAATCCTCTAGAGCTATTAGCTATTAATCCTTTAGAGTAGATTCACTTGGTATGAACTAATATATTACACCTGTGTCATAGCGTGGGAGATATGTATATGAAACACACTTATGTGATATAAATATTCTATATAGGCTAAGAAAAGGATATGAAATAATATGAAATAATACAATATGATATGAAATAATAATAGTTAAAAAAAGATAATGCATGTTTATTTATAATGTCCCGTATTCTTACTTATTGAACTATTGTCTCTCAATAGTATGAACCAAGATTGTTATTATTATCTATTGTATTCTAGGTATTGTAAGACAGTAAATCGAGAAATTATAGTCACTTAAAATATCAGTTTGTAAACCTGGCAATATTTCTGTGTCTAATTAGGAACACACACCCAAAAATTTCCACATAAACCTAGCCAAGTGTTATAATCTGTAAGAAAAACGAATACCATAAACCTAGTCAAGTGTTATAATCTGTAGGAAAAACGAAAAACGTACATCTCATATGGGCACCTCATATTGGATGAAAAAGAAAACTCTGTTATGTTGGTACAATACTACAATTTATATAGAAAGTCGAACTTGGAAGAGAGGGCACAACAGATCTTTAGGTCACAATGCAATCTCGCCCAGAATAATAATATTAATAATTATAATCTGTAGGGTTTAGTTTATAATCTTCAGGGCTATTCTCTAACAAAAGCTGTGTGAAGACTAGGCACTGTGACTCAAAACAAAGGTCTTACGAATAATTATAGGATTAAAATAAGGTACAAAACGAGTGGAGAGTGAAGATATTAGCGCTGAAAATGTTCTTCAATTTGTTAGATTCGAATGTTTGACTAGTCGGACCAGTCTAGTCAGATTGAATCCAGCAACAATGCAGTCGTACTGTTCACACAAAGCATAAAAAGTGAATGACCACAGATAAGATGGCTTAGGGATAGGTTAAGAGCATGGTATTTTCGTCGGAAAAATACAAAATGTTATGCAAATGAAAGCTCATCGGAGTTATGGCTCTAAATGTTAATAATATTGTATCAGCAACTGGGATTTACTGGGAACCTAGTTAAAAAATTGTTTGGGTCTGCAGTTTTAAATACTTCTTACCTTCGCTCGTCTTTATATGCATTTTCATTTGAATTAAGAACAATTCAGAGTAAATATCACATATTAATCTACCTGTGTGTAGATATTACATATTAGGATCACACCTGTACCAAATGCATTATTGCATTGCCATAAAAGTTGAAAATGGACAGACATAAAATGCACACTACCTAAATGTTGCAATGATTGCAGTCACTGACGATGGCTACAGACGTTTGGTTATGAAAAATATTTTTATTTTTGTTGTAAACGCGAGCGTGAGCTTAAATACTTCTGCAGTTTGGCACATTTTTAAGCAATAAAATATTTGTTTTTTTTTCATCTGTTTTTTTTTAAATTAAATTACAAAAATTCTTGAATATCGAATATTATAGCGTGGGCGTTTATTATTCTACAAAACATATACAATTATTTTTTCCTCACTGATTTCTATTGTACTTATAGCAGTGTTAGTGTGTAAGCCGCGCTTGCTTGCTTGTTGGTTGAATGTTGCTACATAAGCGCAATAAATGTTGTTAGTGCAACATGTTGCTATACACAAGTACAAACACAGCAATTAATGAATATAAATAAAAAAATTGTTAAAATCAATAGAAAAAGAATGGAAAAAATTTGAAAAAATTGAAAAACTTAAATAAATATTAAAGCAGGAAATAAAAAAACACAAAGAGACTAGTGAAATCGTGAGATAAACAATAAAATACTAGTATTTAAGGAAAAAAACTCTACTGAAGTAAAATACTTTTAGTGCATAAATGCAGTTATATTAGCGTAGCCAATTAAAATGACAGAAATATACAAAAAAATTATTTGGGATATAAATTGAAATTCTTTACTTATTCGCGTTGTTGTTGTTGTTGTTGTTGTAATTTATTAGTAAAACAGCGTAAATATGTTCTTGTAATTAATCCACAACTAACCAACCAGTTTGAGACCGAAATACCCGTAATTCGATCAACTCAAGACCAACCAGCAACATTAGAGCGAGCAACAACAGTTGCAGTAGACATCACGAAGTGTTTTGTTTTTTGTGGCGTAATTTGCAACATTTTTGTTTTTGTTGCTCTGATTTGGCAGCAATCGAAAGTGTTGCTACGTTTTGTGTTGCATGCGGAAATCGAAAGTGTTACAATTTTTATTATTTGTCATAGTAATTTTAGCATTTTTTGCCACACGACGTATTTTTAGAAACTATATTATAATGATTTATGTGCCAGATATCGAACTGGTAGTGTAATTTAATGAAAGTTTTAAAGAAATACTGGATTGATTAGAGTATTGTTTATGGTGGTTGGAACTGTGATGGTAGCATAAGTGTGGGACAACCATTGCGGTGTAATATAACAATAATAGAAGACTTAATTGTTTACGAAGTGTACCTAAAACACTGTTTGAGACCCACTTCCCTCCTTGAAATCAATCAATCAATAGATATGAAGCTGATATTCGGAGCTTAAGTTTATTTTTCTATTATTTTCTTTTTTAATATTCTAGAGATCTCTGGAAAGTTTCTATAAACTATAATGTTAACTATTAAGTGCACTTATAGCAAGTTGCGTGTGTCTTAGAGTTCACCAAAAATACCTGCAATAAAAATTTAAATAAAAGTTTAACTCTATCTGGTATTGGTTAGGAAAATAAAATTACCATTTGTGGCTCACAGCTAGCCAGATTCACCTAACTGAAGCTGTATGTGTTCTAGAACTACGGCACACAGTGTATGGACTGATATTCATTTAAGGTATGCTCTGAACACTCGCTGCTTAAAAAATGCTTGGTTGCACTGACTCAGGAATCTAAATTCTTTTTATAATATTCTAAAGCACTTTTAAATTATAAATGCCATAAATAAAAATCTTCATAGAAATTGAACTCTATCTGGTATCGATGGGGAGTCATAGGCCTATGTGTTGCTTACAGACAGCCAGAAAAACCTAACCATAACTGTAAGTTAACTACTAATAAATTGTATCAAAATGTACAGACTGCATTTTCTGAAATATTTTTAAAAAAATAATATAACTCATGTCACCAAGGTAAAGCCATTTTTTACGATGGGACATTTTTTTGTTCCGGTTATGCAAAGAATAGTGTCTAGGCAGACATTTCTTAATCTCTCGAGGCTGTAAAAGTCAATATAAGTCGACTTATGGTTGAACTATATTACCAGCTATGTGCGGACTAGAGAAATTATTTAAAAGTTGTCGGTTCTGTTATATGTTTGCTAGTAGACATTTGAATAATGTTGTATTTTAATATATTAACATATTGATTTCGATGTATTGATCAAAATCCATTCACAAATGTGCTTCACAGCCGTAGATAACCAACTATGACAGAGTTGGTTGCAATATATAGCGCAGTGTCTTTCATAATTTCATGAAATGTTGTAGTCTATTGAAACCTTTGAGGTTCATTAAAAAATGAATATATTATGTATAATTGATAATAAAAAATTAATATATAATTAACAGGTGTTCATGGTCAGTCTAATGTTATGAAAAATGATGAGTTTTGCTTTTGGCAAAGCAATGCCATTTATCACTTAAGTGATTAAACTAACATATTAATAATATTATGTCATATTTGTTTAATTAATAAGAAATGCTTTTAATGACTGAAATTCTAGTAAATACTGAGAGAGAAGCAAAAATATTCAAACCAACATCAATCAAATTTCGCGCTTCATTTTTTGTTGTGAAGATGTTGAAGCGTTAAATTGAAATTTTCCAGTTTTTTATCTTTAAAATTCTTAATTAGTTTCTGTAAGAAAAAAGACATCCAAAACAAATATTCTGTTACTTTTAACCACAAACTAATTTATAATTATAGTCTCGGCTAAATGGTAATTATGTGAACAGCGAAAAATTTGAATGGCTCGAAAACGTTTTGAACTTAAGACCCTGTCAAGTTGAACTTTTGTTCTTTCAACATAACAAATTGCTAAGGTTGGACTTTTGGATTGTGGGCAAATCACTGATCTTTTCGCTCTTTTTAAATTATTTCATTTCATTTTATTTTTATTTTAATTTTATTTTAATTTTGCAAGCACTATTACTTTTAAAATTAATTATCAAGATAATGATAATAAATGTTATACATGCATATATTTGAATTAAATAATATATAAAATGATATATAGTTTTGAAAGAAAACAACAATCATTTATGATATGATCGTATTATGAATAACAACACAATAATAAGTGTATTAGTTCAAATAGAGTGGAGATATATTAGTTCAAATAGACTGCAAATGCAGTGGAGTACTGTGATCATGGAGTTTTGTGCCATAAATGAAAGTTACCGAATAAA